AATATATAAATAAATTTACCTTCATTTGAATCATAAATTTCTTTAAATATAATAAAAATGCTTCTTTAATACTTTCATTCGAATAAGTACTCCATAGTTATATAAAGTCTATAATTATACTTTATATTCTTCAATCTTTATCATAAAATGGATAGTTATGCCCAAAAATACCTTTATTGAAACTGATATCCAAATATCAAGTATAAATAAAATACAACTTTCTATTTCTTGTAACATTTTTTGAATTTTTCTTGATCATTTAAATAAAAGTTCGTTATATACTGTAGATCTTAATAGAAGTAGCCAATGATATTTTTGTATTTGATGCTAATATTTGTATGAAAGTAAGAAAAGCTAGTTCTTGGAAAATTGTAAAAGGTTACTAATTAATAATGATCCATTGAACAAGTTTTTTTTTTCATTTTTGTTGAGTCATATGCACACTATATATAAATATAAAAAATTAAAGGTATTTTTTTAATAATTTAAAAATTATTTAAAATTATCTTTATTTTAAAAAAATTGGTAATTTTAATGTTGCCAATTATTAAATTTAATTTTACCAGATAAGTTTTTCAAAATGTTTCATTAGATTAGAAGTACTGCTTCTACTACAAATATATATTATCCTACAATATTTACAGGTAGCTTTTTTGTTCTCTTTAAATCTTGCACTTCTTGTAAAGTGTTCTCATACTTTACTTCTAGAAATTGTTAAAGTAACTGAAGCCAATTCTGATAAATTGTTTGTATTAGCATTTTTAATATTAATATTGTCATGGCTAGTTAAACTACTACTTTTATTATATGCAAATTGTATGCTATTAAATGAGTTTTCATATTTTATTTTTAAAAAAAATAAATTAATAAAAGCAAAGAATATGATGAAAGTAATTAAGTAGCAAAACTATAATATTGCAAAAATGTTTAAAAAATCATTAAGAAAAGCGAATATTGAATTTTTTTTAACTTGCCTTTTATATATTTTATATAAATATTGTATATTAATTATAAAAAATTAATAAAAGATATAATAATACTTTTAACTTATTAATTAAAATAAAAAACTTTGATAATAATTTTAATAGATTAAAAATCTAGTATTTATTTATTAAATAAATAAAATATTATTTTTAAAATTTGATTTAATATAATTAATTAAAATTGGTTTTATTTATGATTTAAAAGATAAATTTATTATTATATAAAAATTAATATAAAATATTAAAAATATTTATATATTTCAATAAAGATATGTTATAAATAAAAAAAATTTTTTTTTTTTATATTAAAAATAAAAACTATAATATTTATAAATAATTTAAAAAATTATTAAAATAATTGTATATATAATATATAGCATAATAAATTGTTCAAATATATGATATATATTAATTTATATTTTAAGTTTTATAAGATTAATAAAATTTAAACAATAAATCTTCAAGTTGTAATTATTTAACCCAAGATCTTTTTATTTCTATTATTTAGTTAGGAAAAGTTTTAATGATAATTTTTTAATTAAATCTTATAATAATAAATTAATTAGAAAAATGAATAAGTTTCTTAAATGATCAGAAGAAGTAAAAATATTTCAATAGAACATTTTTTATTGAGAAGAGATCTTATGAAATGGATTTTTTGAAGAAAAAGTTGAATAAAATTTACCTTTTATTTCTTTTATTTTCTTTTTTTTTTGCATATTCGTGTGTTTTTAGATATGCTCTCTTCTTTTTTAATCCAAACTCTTTTGTAATTTCCAATATTCCAATGACTTGATAGGACATATGATAGTGACAACCTATCAGTTGTGATGTATGAACTATGAGAATTTTTATTCAAAATTCTGGAGTGAAATATTGTTCCCAAGACTAAACTTAGAAGCTTTTAATGCCTATGATGAGTTAGACTTGATATAATGTTTAACTGTAGTATATACTATATTTCTGCATTCTACTGATTAATAAACAATAGTCTGGCCTGGTACGGGTATTGCAAAAAATACTGTATATGTTTTTTAATAATTCACAGAATGGACAAGTTTCGTACTCATTAAAATTTCATAGTTAATGAATAACCTGTGTGAATGAGATATTAAAGCGAGAAAAATCTTGATGTATTGATGATTCAAGTTTTGTAGTGATACATGTTCTCAAGCTTTGAACCTGAAGTAAATTCGAAGAGATTTGAACCATGATCAACTAATATAGACAAAGATTGCATAGAACTTTGTTCTTAGTTTGTTGCTAAAAACTGGTGGAATTATCAACACAATCTATTTAGAAGAGATATTTGAGTCTCTCCGGAAATTTATTAAGGACATAATTACATAGGATTTATATTAAAAAAAAAAAAAAAAAACCAACCACCAAATAATATAATGGTTTCTTGCATGTGTTTTGCTCCCATTTGAAATACAAATTTCCTCATTAATTCGATTACTACAATACTTTTATCAAAATTATTTATTTTTGAATACGCCCGATTTCGTTGAATAAAGATAAGGGTGGCATACTCTACTTTCTAGACGAACTGGTTTGTCTCTATTAAATTTTTGAGTATCCTTTTTCTTTACGAATTTCGTTTAGAAAAGTTGAATCATCACCGAAGCCACCACACCAAGACCAACGAACAGACCCAGTAAACTGGATCTTAATGTTGAAGCATCACTACTTTTGCTGTTTTAAAATTAATTAATTTTGTAAGTACTGGGTAAAAAGCGACAGTATCACTGATATAAGAATATAGTTTACCTCGAGTTAGTAGAAGTGCTACTAGAACCGGTGGCAGTATTGGTACTACCTCCATTAGTAGCAGTCTCACCACCGTTAGCGGTAGTCACGGCAGCATTAGTTTCGGTAGGGGAAGGTCCAGAAGCAGCGGTCGATTGTCCGCTGGAGGCCGGCGTATTGGGGCCTGCGGAAGCACTGGACGAACCACCCGTCACCTGGAAATCACCAGAATCCCTTTCACCAGTACCATCGTTAATAGCGAAATAATAATAACCCGCCGGAACGTTGACCTTCCAACTGTAGGATCCGGATGCAATGTCCGCGCTAGTGGTTATCGTGGTTCGGGCGCTATTATTGGCGTTGATTATGTAAAGAGCACATGTACCCGATGGCTCGCTGCCAGATTGTGTCCAGGTAATATTGTATACGACACCGTTGGATATAAAACCTAAGGGGCTATTAACTGTAAGGACTATATTATGGTAGAGAGAAAAGAAATTTGTTAAATCGAAATTATTTTCGTGATCAATATCAAATTAGATAGCCGATAAGTTGGAGAAAGGAAAATTCTTCATGCTAGCTCCGACAAACCAAGAAAAACGAAAACATCCAAAACGACACCCGAGAATTGATACATACCGGCCGCAACAAAAATGGAAGTGAAAGCAAAGAGGAGGGCTGCAACGATATTAACTTTGACAATAGAACCCATTGTAAATATTATATTAATTATATTAGAGGATTATTCGTAGCGTAGATATTAGTGTTTCCTTAATGATGTTTGAAGGGTATATATATAATTTTCAAAAAAAAAAAAAAAAAAAAATTTTTTCTTTTTTTTTTTTTGGAAACGATGAATGCTTGAGAATAAGAATGGTGAGAGATTTAAATATATTCTGTTCAAGCGCGCGATTGTCCTCCGCCTAGATAATTATACTATCTATGTGCAACCCGTTCTACAGATATCAAAGTCATATGACATTTGATGCTTTCCATATATGACACACAAGAATACACAGAATTTTTGTTTTTTCTTTATCGAGTAATCTAATGAAATGAATATGTAAGGAGGTAAAATGATATTACACAGTCCTGATGTAATAACGAACCCAGTTAGGTTACACGATAATGTGCGTGTGTGAAAAAATGGAGAAAAAATGGAGAATTTTAAAAGTCAATTTTATTTTTTTAGTTTCGAGAGATGGATGAAACAGAGTAGTGAAATTAAGAGTAAAAAGGTTCGGTAGGAATAAGTTCGGTAATTAATTGACGAAAAGGCGTGGTATGGACATAGCTTCAAGAATAAGATGATATTTTGATGTTAAGCTGCACGCGAAGGGTTAATGTGCACACAAAATTTGTAGAACGTGCCAGGCGCATCGGGAAGTTAAAATAAATGAGGGCGGAAATAGTGGAATCGGAAATACGACGGGTCCGAGATATAGTACTTAACTAATTGAAATTCGAGTGCGATTGCAACACATCGCAATACCATTATTTAATGGTGGTCGAGATTTTTTTTGTTTTATTGATGTAGCACGTCCAATTAAAAATAATGTTTCGACACAAACACATTTTACCCTAACTAGTTTAGCCTCAAACACCACTCTGAGCATTGTTATAATCGATTCAGTCTAATGTATGAGCTCAATCGAACTTTTGTACGTAAATGCGCTACGCTGAATTATTCACGTATTTCTATGCATTTAATTTTTCACATGAGAAACAGGAAGCTTTTCGGAAATCTCCAGTTATGAATATGTGAAAACAATTGTAGAAAGCAGACGTTATTGATACTTTTGACATTAATGTTAATATTTGGGTATAACAAGATACTCAAGTAATATTTGTAATACTTTTCTACTTATTAGTAATAAGGGGGGTACCGCTTTGCTAGTGACTTGACTGTAAATTTGAAGATCGTTTTTTTTCATAGAAAGGTTAGATGTTCCCGTGTCACCAGCCAATTTCCATATTTCGAAAATACAAAATCCATTCTGGTATAACAACAACTTGAAAAAATTTATTTACCAGTTCTAGGGGAGCACCACAATGCAGTTTTATTCATGCACTGGTACGAATGTAAAGAAAATGGTACAATGAACTTCGCGTTGTTACTTTAAATCGATGGTCGATCAAAGTAATTTAAGGAGTTAGAATATAAAAAATTCACGAATCACTTATTGCATTTTTCTTATTTATGTTATAACTTTTAGATCTATTTTTTTTTTTACAAAAAATATCATGCATTGTTACAGGAGGGTGACGAAAGTTTTCCCCAACTTAAAATATCCAAAGTACAAAAAATAGTATATCAACTTTCGGATTCAGCAAAGGTGGAAAAATACTTTTGTCATCCCCTTCAATTAATAATTTTCATAAATGGTATTTATCTCTTAAAACAAAATTTTCTTTCTACATGCCGATCCAATTGGTTTTTTTTTTCATTAGGGTCGTAAAATGAATGTGATGTGATGCATTTAAACGCCACATATACTGTGGAATTACATGATCGCTAACAAAGTTTTATCGGAAACAATATAAGATTTATCAATCAATACTTTTGGAACTTACGCAATCGAGTTCGCGAATAACTTAACGAATGAATAACCTAGACTGGGCCCAATATGTGGGCCAGGATCTACCATGCCTTTTCGCACCGTCCCGTAATGTTCCGAACCTCATGCGAGACTATGCAATTTCAATTTTTGAGACCAAAACCCTGCCTTTCGAATAGGATTACACATGGTCTCACTATCGTTTCCATCAACGCCCTTTACGATGCCAAGTATATTGTGGCTCAGTTTAATGCATGGTGGTCAATTGAAACTTTATTATTGCGGGAAAAATAATACGCACGAACCTGAAACAGGAAAAAAAATACCTCTGGAAGAGACGATAGTGCCGCGTTAAATTGTCGAAAAAGAACTGGTTTTGTAGTAGTTCGGTGTGGTTTTACAAATTAAGATTTTGCATTAAAATAAAATAGAATACCAAATGAAACATCCCAATTTGTTTTTTCGTATTGAAAACTTTAAACGGGCCTCGACTTCACATTCGTAGATGCTACCGTGTTTGCCGGTTCATTCAAATACAAAGTTTCTTTGAAAAAAACTTTTTGATGCATAAATAATTTGAAAATGCAAATGCAATCAATAATGCATCATTTATAACCTAAATCAATAAAAAGTTTTACAACGCGTAGCAAAAAATATATTTTTTTTTCTGACATAAATTTGGTGAAATTATATATTGGTTATTTTTTAAGAATTTTCATATTTTTTATTTAAAAAAATAAATTTTGAATAAATTTTATTAATTTATTTAAAAACTATAACAAATTAATTAGTTTGCTTTTGCTTTGATCAATAATTGATGGTTTTTAATACTTGTTTGAAATAATTATTCTTTTCTATACCTTTCTATTTGCAATCAAGTGACTTTTATTTTGGTTAATTAATTTTTTTATCTTAAAATGAGCTATCTATATAAGTAGAAAATAACTGTTCTCAAGTCTTTCTTTGTTTATTATATTAATTCTTGATATTTACAAAGTTTTTTTTACAATTGTTTTTTAATAATTATTTTTAATTTTTTATGTCTTTACTCATTAATTTTAAATAATTTCAAGATTTGTAAACTTATTAATTAAAAAAAAATTTTTTTTTTAACTTGCAATCATATCAAAATGGCTTGTCTTTATTAAGATACTTGAAAAATATCAAAATAATCTGCAAATCTTCTCACATAATGACTAACTCATCTTTGTACATTATTAGTTGAAGAATTATATTACTTAAAAAATATGAGGTGTCCATTAAGCTAGTTCAGGCTAAACAAAACTAAGTCTCAACTAGATACTTTAAGTCAGATTTAAAGAACAATATTACACTCTCCTAATAGTTTGATATAGTGTCTTTAAGTCAATCAAGATCCTCTTTAATCAAAAACTTGACTTCTGGTAATCAAGAACAAGTCAACTAATACCTTTGATACCAATGGTAATAAAGTTCTCAAAGAAAAAAGAACTAATAGTAAAGTATATAAAGGCTTTATCTACCTTTGAAGTGAGAGGTATATAAAGGTTTTTGATGACAAAAGTACTTATTTTTTCCCCTTCCAGTCATTTATAGTCTCTTAGAGCTATTGCTTTTATGGTTTTCTAAAGAATTTTACCTATTTCAGTTTGATCCTGAATTTTGGGTAGCACAAATTTTTACCAAAGGTAATTGACTAATACAAAACACATTGATTTCAGAAAAGGTAAACAAGCTTTTATTGGTCACGCTCATATGTTCCTATCATATTATGGGTAATATAAGAAAGAAAGTTCTAGAAAAAGTTTCCCTTCAACTATATATATTTGATCCTAGGAAACAATTACAATATGATATCAAAAGGTGAGATGGATCCATATAAAGAAATTCCATTCCTTTTTTAAGTTTCTCAAGTAGTAAAAAGGATTTCTAAGATGGAAGCTGAGATTTTTTAGTTTCTCTTGAACTATCCCAATCTGATGCATGCTTAAATGAAGACTTATTTGATGTCATAGATAATAACAAAGAAAATTTTTTCTGAGATCCAAATAAAACAAAGAAGAATATCTTAATTAGGCAAAACCTCTTTTGAGAAGAGGTTGTGAAATGGAACAAGAATCTTTTGAAGAGCTTTGAATTGTTTTTCATTTTCTT